TATTTCGATAAGTTCGAAATAACACCTTTTAAGGCCAAGGGCCTTCGCCAAAAAGAAAAGTTCGACCTCGATTGAACGACGACGGGTTAATATTTCGATAATTTTGAAATAACACCCTTTAAGGCCAAGGGCCTTCACCAAAAAGAAGATTTCGACCTCGAGCGAACGATGACGGATTACTATTTCGATAAGTTCGAAATGACACCCTTTAAGGCCAAGGGCCTTCGCCAAAAAGAAGAGTCCGACCTCGATCAAACAACGACGGGTTATTATTTCGATAAGTTCGAAATAATCCCTTTAAGGCCAAGGGCCTTTGTCAAAAAGAAGAGTTCGACGATCGAACGACGACGGGTTACTATTTCGATAAGTTCAAAATAACACCTTTTAAGGCAAAGGGCATTCGCCAAAAAGAAGAGTTTGACCTTGATCGAACAACGACGGATTACTATTTTGATAAGTTCGAAAAAACACCCTTTAAGGTCAAGGGCCTTCACCAAAAAGAAGAGTTCGACCTCGATCGAACGACGACGGGTTACTATTTCGATAAGTTCGAAATAACACCTTTTAAAGCCAAGGGCCTTCGCCAAAAAAAGAGTTCGACTTCGATCGAACAACGACGGGCTACTATTTCGATAAGTTCGAATGACACCTTTTAAGGCCAAGGGCCGTCGCCAAAAAGAAGAGTTTGACCTCGATCGAACGACGACGGGTTACTATTTCAATAAGTTTGAAATAACACCAACAGCTTTTAAGGCCAAGGGCCTTCCCCAAAAAGAAGAGTTCGACCTCGATCGAACGACGACTGGTTACTATTTCGATAAGTTCGAAATAACACCGTTTAAGGCCAAGGGCCTTTACCAAAAAGAAGAGTTCGACCTCGATCGAATGATGACGGGTTACTATTTTGAGAAGTTCGAAATAACACCTTTTAAGGCCAAGGGCCTTCGCCAAAAAGAAGAGTTTGACCTTGATCGAACAACGACGGATTACTATTTTGATAAGTTCGAAAAAACACCCTTTAAGGTCAAGGGCCTTCACCAANGGGCCTTCGCCAAAAAGAAGAGTTCGACCTCGATCGAACGACGACGGGTTACTATTTCGATAAGTTCGAAATAACACCTTTTAAAGCCAAGGGCCTTCGCCAAAAAAAGAGTTCGACTTCGATCGAACAACGACGGGCTACTATTTCGATAAGTTCGAATGACACCTTTTAAGGCCAAGGGCCGTCGCCAAAAAGAAGAGTTTGACCTCGATCGAACGACGACGGGTTACTATTTCAATAAGTTTGAAATAACACCAACAGCTTTTAAGGCCAAGGGCCTTCCCCAAAAAGAAGAGTTCGACCTCGATCGAACGACGACTGGTTACTATTTCGATAAGTTCGAAATAACACCGTTTAAGGCCAAGGGCCTTTACCAAAAAGAAGAGTTCGACCTCGATCGAATGATGACGGGTTACTATTTTGAGAAGTTCGAAATAACACCTTTTAAGGCCAAGGGCCTTCGCCAAAAAGAAGAGTTCGACCTCGATCGAACGACAACGGGCTACTGTTTCGATAAGTTTGAAATAATACCTTTTAAGGCCAAGGGCCTTCGCCAAAAAGAAGAGTTCGACCTCGATCGAATGGCGACGGGTTACTATTTCGATAAGTTTGAAATAACACCCTTTAAGGCCAAGGGCCTTCGCCAAAAAGAAGAATTCGACCTCGATCGAATGTCGACAGGTTACTATTTCGCTATGTTCGAAATCATATCCACAAGGCCACGAGCCATTGCTAAAGGGAAAAGTCCAAAATATATCTAAGGCCAAGGGACGTCAGTAAACAAAAAGGGAAGAAAAGACCGGGACTCGTCATACGAGAATCCATCCCATGCCAAAGCCACAAAAAAGAGAAAACAAAGATAAGCACAAGGCAAATAACAACGAAAAAATTCTTCTTTATACAAGGTCACCGCGCCAACGGTCGCAGATTACATACAGCCCAAGCCAACAATAAAAACAAAAAGAAAGGAACAACAATAATCGATGATGAATAAAAAAGAAAACAGAAAACAAACTAAGACAGCATTCTTTCACTCGGCGTCATCACCGCCACCGTCATCTGTAGGAAGCTCTCCCTTATCATCCGCACCCTCTTCAGCCTCTGGAGTCGCAGAGTCATAACCACAATTGACACGGGCCTCCCGCGCCTTTGCTCGTGCTTCTTCATATGCGTCCTTAACAATATTGCCCGCCTCCCACAGACTTTTGTATATATCCCGATGAGCTTCAGTATGAACCCAAAGCTTGTGTAGGCGGCGGGGAGCAGCGAGGGAGGAAGACTCAATCTGGGCCAACAGTCACTCCCTTTCAACCTCAAGAGCGGCGACCCAATCTCCTAATGTCGAAGCTTCCTAATCGATCTCACATATGTGCTCCTCAAGCCTCGCCTCCATTAGCGTTTTCGTCGCTCTTTCCGACTCCTGCTCAGATTGGAGGATGCGGATAATGTTCTCCAGTGTCGCCACTTTTGCTAAAGCCGCAGACCAAGCACTCTCGATACTCTCCAACCCGACGACCTTCATCTCCAACTCGGCCATCTTTCCCATCCACTCTGCACTCATCGCCTCGACCTTGATAAGGTTCTGGTCCATTTCGGCCTGCATTGACCTTATCTTCCCCTACAGATAGTCACACTCTGCAACCACCCCTTTTCCTACCTCGAGCTCTTCATCCTTCATGCGAAGCTTCTCTTCAAGCACATTGTTCCTATGAATGGCCTCCATCAACTGCTCATCTCTCTTCTCCAATTCCTCGTCGAGGGATCAAGCACTAGGATTCTCCCTCAGTCGCTCGTGCATCTCACGGCACTTGTCGCGATAACGCCGATACTTTTCCAACATCTTCAATAAAAGCTTGGCTCGAATGTCAGCCCTGCGCATACTCTCCACTTCCACCATGTATGTCTGAAAAACGAGAAGGTGGGTTAAAACCATACCAACAAGAAAAATGGACATGTATAAAAGAAAAGGACAACGTACCCTCAAACCCATAGCAACCACCTCATTCATCAATTCAACATCAGGAACGTTCCTGAGAGCCTTGTTCTTGGCAGCAGAACACAGAATGTCGAACTGTGGCACCAGATCCTCTGTGTCCCCCAGGAGATTAACATCCGAAGAAATTTCAAGAATACGGGTCGTCCATCCTAACCCAACCACCGAGTGGGTAATACCCTCCTCAAACATCCTAACATCATTAGGATCAAGGTCCGACTCAGATTCATAATCATCGATCACAACGCCCTTTCCTCTTTCAGCAGCTGAAGACGAAGCACGACCAGGTACGGAGGATGAGGGTATATCTGAAACTACAACGACAGCCTCAGACATCTGGCCCCCCATCACGATAGGTAGCTGATCAACAACAGCAGCAGAAATCTCCGTTGATGGGGCAGATGCGATGGCTGTCTCCATCTCTATGGGCGGAGTAGTATCAACCCCTGCCCCAGATTCTGTCAAGGGAGAGTCGTCCAGGTGTATTACAGTTGGAGGGGCTGCCTCGAATTCCACTCGTCGCCTCTTAGACGTCTCTTCTTCTTCCTTGGTGCGGGAAGATTCACCCGTCTAACGAGTAACACGAGTCGGAACTTCAGTCTGAGAAGTGGCCTCCGCAGGAATAATCGCAGCCGCTGACTCGACTAAAGCAGCCCTCGACAAAGGCCGAATGACAGGTACTGCAACAGGGCGAGCAGACAATG